GTCAACCTTGGAGATTAATGGGAAGAAAGTCTCAGTTACAAGCAAAAGGTAACAATAGGAGTATAGGAATACTCCAGGTTTAGCTGAATATATAATTATATATTCTAGTAAGTATTGCTCTCTATATGAATGATTCCTCAATGCTTCGTTTTGTCCTTACAGTTTCACTAGCAAGTCAGGACAAAAATCTTCTTTAATTACTTACCTGTAATTTTATCTTAGGTGGTGTCACATATCTCTTTTCTTATCAACCCCAATGCTGACAAGTGTCAGATTCAGATATCAAGTGTTCTTTTCACTGCGAATACATGGACACTCTCAGTATACTTTTCATGTATCATCAAACCTTTATGAATTGGAAATAAGGATATGCGTTGCTTGGCACCTATTATGGAAGTGGCTGAGTGCTCATCTGCAGTTTGGTAGTATTGCATACATGCATGTACAAATAATAATCATTGAAAAATTGAAAGGAATATATTATTTGATTAATGCTCACTTGGGTAAAATTATGGTGTACATGTTGTTCCTAGAAATTTGCAAGCGTTTTTCATCAACTCGTTGCTTGTGGTATTTTTATCTTGTGGCAATGTAGCTTGTCCCATCTCCCCTAACGCATTGTTGGTTTGCTTTGTTTTATGTGCTTTCACTTTTAATTTCAGGGACCCGTCAGATATCCCTTGGGGTAACTTTGGAGCTGAATATGTTGTTGAATCATCTGGTGTTTTTACAACAGTTGAGAAAGCTTCAGCACATTTGAAGGTCACCTTCTCATTTTTTGGACTATGTATTTAATATCCTGGAAAAATTTCCATTTACATACAACAAAAATGTTGAGATTCCATTGTGTGTCACTTAAACAGGGGGGTGCAAAGAAAGTGGTGATATCGGCTCCGTCAGCGGATGCTCCCATGTTTGTTGTTGGAGTAAATGAGAAGAATTACAACCCTAGCATGGATGTCGTCTCTAATGCTAGTTGTACCACCAACTGTCTTGCTCCTGTTGCCAAGGTATACGCTTTATCACTGCATACTATATATATAATACAGTTTTATTTCTTGCAAAATAGTGCCACCAGCTGCCTTCTTGATGATTCTTATGTTTATTGTTTGCAGGTTGTCCACGAGGAGTTTGGCATTCTTGAAGGCCTAATGACAACTGTCCATGCCACAACAGGTTTTCTTTCTCCCTGTTAATACTTGTCATGGGCTGAGAAGTTCACCAATGCTCACATACCAAGTTGTAATTTGTATGTAACGTAATAATTTTATTTGATGTGTCCAGCCACTCAAAAGACTGTTGATGGTCCTTCAATGAAGGACTGGAGGGGAGGACGTGGTGCTGGTCAAAACATCATCCCTAGCTCTACGGGTGCAGCAAAGGTTTATAATTTGCTCAATGAGAAAGAGCAAAATGTTTTGTTTTTGCAGGTTTCTTGTGTTGAACTTCTTGCTTTGATATCAGGCTGTTGGAAAGGTCCTTCCAGCTTTAAATGGAAAGCTCACTGGCATGGCCTTCCGGGTTCCTACACCTAACGTATCTGTTGTTGATCTGACCTGCCGACTTGAGAAAAATGCTTCCTATGAAGATGTGAAAGCAGCTATCAAGTATGTACACCAATCTAACAGTTATTCTCGCAATTTGTTAGCTCCTGATTTGCTGGTTGCACCCCCTTTTCCATCAGTGCCTTGCTCTGTTCTTTCTGACCAAGTCAACTTCTCGTCAACTTTATTATTCCAAGTTCTCTTTATTGGTATAGTATGTGATCTTTTGGCTGTAACTGTTTATAGGATTACTCCTGTAGCTTGTTACTCTATAAACTAAAGTTAGAGGATACAATATGCTTTTCCTTAAGGGTACAATAATTGTCATGTTGTTGAAGGTTAATATTGAAATAGCACTTGGGAAGAAATATATAATGGTGTGCCTGCCCTGGTACCAACTGAATCCATGCATACTATCTGTGTCGTTTGATCATGGTAATGGAGAAGTAGGTCTCACAGCTTACAAAAACAGAGAAACAGGGAAAGTGTTCGTTGGTTGAAATTTTGATGTGAATTAAGGCCAATTTGTTTTCCTAAATAAATGAGTGTAAATATGCCACAGCTGTTTCTTGAACTTTGTATTAGCATTATTCTGTGAAAATTTCTCAGTCCAACAATATGCTTACCCAACTCTGAAAAAAATACTTATTTAACCATTTTTCCAGGGAAGCATCAGAAGGTTCGCTTAAAGGTATTCTAGGCTACACAGATGAGGATGTTGTTTCAAACGATTTCGTTGGTGACACAAGGTAAGTATTTGTATCTGTTCCCATGAAATAGTAACGAGCTGCTGGGAACTTGGGAGTCGCTAAATCTCTCTATACTGAAGGTCGAGCATATTTGATGCCAATGCTGGTATGGGACTAAGTTCATCTTTCATGAAGCTCGTCTCCTGGTACGACAACGAGTGGGGCTACAGGTAAGTGTTCACTTAACCAGTTCAAGCTTTTAATTTATTGCGTATCTTCAGTGTGCCTGATTATGCTGTTATGTTTTCTTGATCCAGCAACCGTGTCCTCGATCTGATCGGGCACATGTCTCTTGTTGCCTAACGATGATGCCACGATACGATTTAGCACAGAAGGTCTCCTCGCGTAGTGTAGGAAGTGAAGGCTGCAATTTTGATGGCCATTTTCGTATCCTGGAATAATAATAATTCTGTACGATGAAAACAATCAAATCAATCGGCGTCGACTTGAAGCTGCAGAACGCTCATGCTGGTCTGTAAAACCCCATAATTGAACTGTTGTGGGTGGACAATAAACCCAATCTCCGACTCGTCGAGTCATAGTGCTGTTACTTTGGCCCTGTGGTGGCATCCGTGTTTTGTTTCCACCTTCATAGAGGATAGGAAATGATGATGATGATGATGACTCTGTTGTTTGCAGTCTAAAGTTTTTGCAACAATGTTGTGTTGCGCTTGCACACGCAGGTGTTGTGTTGCGCTTTGACACGTAGTTGAGGGGATGCAGGATCGATATCTCGGGAAAGGTATCTGAATTTCTAATCCGAATGCTATGATAGCAATTCAGGAAAGGTGTTCTGGATTTTAGATCCTGATGATACGAACTCGGATGCCGATTGGGCGAATCACATCCCATTCCTGCCTTGCCGTCAAGTGGGCTCTCCGGTGGAGGGGCATCACATGCGGCGGCCCCCAAGATAACCCTGCGTATCACATCCAAATTCTCCTACTTTACCGTGTCATCTGTTCTGACCGTGACTTCACTGCCTGTCCTGTTCCTATCTACACGGCTAGTTGCTCAATGTCGCATTCCTCATGCACTCACACAATGGATGCATGGCTAAGAACTAAAGTTAATTTTTTTCCAAGAAGTCCTCTAATCTACTTCCTCCGTCTCTAAATATTTGTCTTTTTAGAGATTTCAAATGAACTACCACATACAGATGTATATAGACATATTTTAGATTGTAGATTCACTCATTTTGCTTCGTAGTCACTTGTTGAAATCTCTAGACAGACAAATATTCAGGAACGGAGAGAGTGTTAACAATATGCAACAACAACACAAAGATTTCGATATGTAATAAAAATTACAACTAGGTCCATGAATCACCTATCGCAAGCCGAAGGTATGTCACTGTCATCATCCCTCCCTCATCGGAGCCAAAAGAAACTTTGTTGTAGACATGTGAGAAAACGAGATGCTAAAGCTCCAAAATGGTAACCACCGTCGACGATGAGAAGCGTAAATTGAAAGGGTCGTATACTCGCAAATACACGGGCAAAAACAAGGGCCAGTCGGATCCATATGGATTTGTCGAAGACGAACGCCGACGGATCTAAGGAGATCCACAAATACGGAAATACCAATGCTGACCCGATCCAAGAAGATCCATCAAAGACTCATCTCCGCACGCCCTTGGCCCAAGTAGGGGTAGACAAGGAGGACATTATTGTAACCTTGTAACGTTACGGCCGCCTTGCCACCCCGACCAAACCACTAAAACTAACGTAAGGAAGTATAGGATTCCTCCCGACTAGCGGGACTAGCACCTCCAAGTCTCGTATGGGCACTGGAGGTGGGGCTGACCGACGGTGGTGCTGGCAAGGGCTTGTTACTTGTCGACGTGATATTTTTGAAAATCAAAGTAAAAAGGGGTCACATGTTTGTCAGTTGCAAGTTTTAATAGATTTTCTGGTCCGTAATATTCACATCCAACGGTTCCTGACCGTCTCGTGTCTGTTTGTCATGTTCATCTTGAACCCTCCCACAA